TGGGCGGCGTTCACGAGTGACCGGGCGGGCTCGCGCGGCCGTGAGCCCGTTCCGCCCCTCTCTGGAGCACGCGGTAGGTCTCCGCACAGACCTCCGTGCCTGCACCGAAGGTCACCCTTCAGGGGTGGGAGGGCGGTGGGGCTTCTCACCGTGCCCCTGTCCTGGGAGCAGCTCTGCTCCGGCGCACCCCGAGGGTGCTGTGCCAAGGTCTCTCACCTGGCTTTTACGTTGGCGGCGGCGAGCGCCTTCTAATCCTCTCTTTTTGTTACAGTCCTATGCACAGCGTGAGAGGGGCGTGATTTCAAAGTCTGAAGGCATAGCCTGCTTTGGATATTGGTTATTTTTTGGCATAAAAGCGTTGTTTGTTGTCCAAATGGCATTTTTGGTAAATTGTGGTAAAAACATACTTCTCATTTGCGGTGAAAAGCTGCATGAAAAATAGTTAAAAACACTTTTCTTCAGTGTTTATGAAATGCTGGTCTCTTGTGCTTTCTGTAATCCTCAGGAAGGCAGCTCTCTGTTGTAGCAGTGAAATAGAATGTGTTCATTATGCCTGTGAGAATAAAGCGTGTGTTGTTGTATTGTGCACTAACACTGTCCTCTCTTGTGGAGTCCAGCCAGTTCTGCTGAGCCTGTTCAGTAGCCTCACAAGTGCCGTCTCAAGTACCTTCATTTTGTTTAAATGCTGTCAGATGCAGTATCTTCAACTGACAGGAAAAAAATGCTCCTTGCTAATGCCTTTTTCTTCCTGCACTTCTCTTCCTTGTTACTCTGGTTTGGTTTGTATTGTTTTGCTGAGAGCTTGTTTGATCAGCGCTGCAGCAGCGAGGCAATACTGATATTAAGAGCTAGCTCTGTCAGTCCACTCCCGAACTGCTCTTTTTAGTCTAGCAGAACTCTTTGTGTGTGGATTAAGCTTTTTTTTTTTTTTTTTTTCCTGATTGAATTGCACGTTGGTTTAGTTATGTTACTCTTAATTGTGTCCAGGTTGTGCTGGCAGTCAGACTTGATCTAATCACTTGGCAGATACTTAAGAAGGAACTACAGGTCTGTAACTCAAAGCGTCCTTCAGACTTTGGCTCTAAACACAGTGGCTGCAACGTGTGGAAGTGCAAATAAGCAATAAATGAAGGCAGATACCTGAAGATATCAGTGAGTTCTGAAATGTTCAGGGCATGACAGCTAAACTTGACTTCTCTCGCAGATTGACAGGCAGCAGTTTGAAGAGACTGTCCGAACACTGAACAACCTCTATGCAGAAGCTGAAAAACTCGGGGGCCAGTCTTACCTTGAAGGGTGTCTCGCCTGTCTGACTGCCTATACCATCTTCTTGTGCATGGAAACGCATTATGAAAAGGTGCGCTGCTTTGCTTTACCTTGTACTGGGAAGGCAGTGTGTCTCATAGACTTCAGTCAGAGACTTACTTCTTGGTAGGTTTTTCTGTGACTTGCACCGTTGTACCAATTCCACGTTGACTCTGGATCCTGCTGCAGAGCGATGCCACCCGTACACCAGGCAGACTTCTCTACGTTAGTCACTTTGAGTAACATAATGATTGCGTGTGCTTCAGAGGAGTCACACACTTTCTGTCCCTAGTTGTGTGCTGGGCTCTCCCAGCATTGATGTATCTGTGCCGTGGCTGGGGAATGTCGGGAAACCTGATGAAGGAGCTGTGACTTCTGTGCTGTTCTATCACCAGGTTCTAAAGAAAATTGCCAAGTTCATTCAGGAACAGAATGAGAAGATCTATGCTCCTCAGGGCCTCCTTCTGACAGACCCCATTGAAAGAGGACTAAGAGTTGTATCCTTCTGTGGTTTCTTAGATTGTCTCCTGGTTTGTCCACCTGTGATGTGCTACCTGTGTACCTCAGTGTAGCACCCTCTGGTCATGCTTGGTGTGTGAGACAGCAGAATGTGTGATTACTCTTGTTAATGCTCCGTGGTGTGCTATTCTTCGGTCAGATCTTAGTACCTTAAGATTTGTCACATCAGAAGACAATGGAAACGCAGTATTGGAATCCATCCTTTGAGGCTTCCTTGAAAATGCAGTATGTATAAACAGGGTCCTGCCAGCACTTTAGGTGCTTCCTCTATTTCAGTGGCCTCTAAAAATGCAGTTTCTCTGACTGGAAAAAAGTGACCGACTTGGTAGGATAGACACTGGTGACGTGAAAGCCAGAGATGGCTGTCGCTTAATCTGCAGCCCTCGGCTCAGGGTCTGGTGAAGATTTCTCCATATGGCACCACTGTAAGTTGGTACCTGCCTAGCACTTGCTCTTGGTTCCGGCATGGCTTATTTCAACTGGTTTTCTTCAGCTCTTGAACACTGCAGGCATTTTGTCTAGTTATCACCTTAGTCGTTGTAAAGACCTTGCCTAGCAAATCTAGGGGTAGAATGAGACACGTGTATCGCTTTTTGAGACTATTGGATCTGGAGCAGCTTGAGACACAGAATGCCAGTTAAATGCACGCTAAGGCTATTCCTTGGGTTATCTGTGTATTTGTCTAAGTAGCTTGTAGCTGTCACCTACGTGAGTTCATTATTCTCAATGTTTTCTGCTTTTTTCTGTGCACACACCTCCTGGAAAAAACCCGTTCAACTTGAGTGCAAGCATTTTCAGTTTGGTTAGTGACTTAGTGGCTGAACTGTAGAAGTGTCCAGTGCATAGCCTTTCCTGAAATTTAACAGAAGGTGGCAAGGCTCACAAACGCTCCGCGCACAGCATCTTGTGTTCTTGTCAGAACAATCCTGGCTGGATAGACTGCTGGTCTGACCTGACAGGGCATCTCTTATGTTCCGTTTGCTTTCTAGCTCTGAAACTACCCTGGAAACGGCAGGTATGAGGCAGAAAAATCAAAGGTTCTAATATCCTAAATTTTTCTGCCTTTTTTTCTGGGTTATGTTTTCATAATCTTTTTATAGTATGTTTCCCTAACAGCTTTTCTGTGCAGATTGAAATTACCATTTATGAAGACAGAGGTATGACCAGCGGAAGATAAAACTGTGGAGTCTCAGGTACATGCTAACCTTACTCTAGACCCATCTCAACCTGTTTTGTACGCTCAGAGGGGTAGATGCTGTCATACTGAGACAGAATATTTATCCCACCACTGTATGTAATCAAAGGCTGTTCACATAAACCTTTTCTGAATCAGCAGAACTATCAGTACTTGGCATTATGTCACTGCATGTTAATACGGATCAGACAATACCAGATTTACCTTTAGAGAAATTCAGTTCTTGATTGTGTAAATACGTAGGAACATAGCTTATGCCCAAAATTGTTCTCAGTTCTGTAGGTAAAAGAATCTTTTTTTTTTTGTTCTCATGAAGTCTTTGTGTCATAAGGTTCTGAACAGACAAACTTAAGACTAACCCTTAAATCTAGACTTGAGAATAGGTCACTACTGAATGCTTGTTTCGGATTTCTGAACAGTTTCTGTACTAATAGCATGAGAGAAATATTCAAGAGATATTGTTAATGGTGCTGTGCTAGCACCTGCTCTTCCCATACTGTTGTGAAAGATACAGCTTTTCCTCTCAAATGTTTTCCGTGGTACCAGGGTCTATTTTAAAAGTTTCCATGTTCCGAGCACTTGTGAAATCAAGGTCATATCCACAGCATGTTAAGGATCCCCTTGTATTTTGCCTAGAAGTCAGGATTATTAGCCTCAGAATCCTGAACAAATCAATGCCAGTAATTGTGTCTTACCTTCTTGCTTCTGAGTATGTAGAAGATTCAATTCTATATACTGTTGAGCGGCAGCTTTTCTGTTCCAGAAGGGACTGAACAGTGAACTGCTGCTGCTACGCAGCCCAAAGGGGAAATGCACGCTGCTATTCCTGGTAGTGTTACTAAATTCTTCTAGTGCTTTTTCTAACCTGCCTCTGCTACATGTCTCTAGGATTTCTCTTTTGGTAGTCTGCTTATGATTGACCCGTATTTACAGTGCATATAAACCAGATTAACCTATGACAAGCTGGAGCAAACCATGATAAGAGTTTCTGGTAAAGCAAAACGATGAAGATTCTTGCTGATGCGTACCTGTTTGTAGACAACTCTGGCTTGTAACTTGGCATCACTTGTAGATGCCAATTCAGTCTCAAAATACCCTTCTTTATCTGGCTATTAGCACTTGGGAATCTGTTGTATTGCATGGCACCTGTGTTCTGCTCTTGGAATAAGTTTGTGTTTTATCAGCTGCATCTGCATATATTTGGCACAGGCCATCTGTCGCGACTCTTTTCACATCAATCACCGAGGAATGCTTTCCTAGGTGATGTGGGTTTTGAGCAGTTATGTAAAAGCTAGTTCTGTCAAACCACTGAAATTTTTAAAATGAAGTTAAGACGTGTATGATGAAGTTCTGGATAGTTTAATGAATTGCAAATATTTGTGGCCAGTAAACACTTGTTTTGAAAGCTGTATGAGGACCCAAGTAAGCCTGGTCTGGGAGTGGAGCTTTGTCAGGTACTCATCTCTGAGTCATTTGGAGCCTGCACGCCGTCCTGATGATCTGTTCAGGAATGCAGCCTACATGGGCTCTACAAAACATGGACTGTCTTTCTGTCTGGGGTAGTGGTAGAGGATATGACTCTGGCTAGGAATAGGTGGCATGTCTTGGGACTTCTCATGGTCTCTGCAACATCTCTGTAAATTCAGAGGAACTCTGAGATCTGCTGCCGCAGTTGAGACCTTATCCTACCCAATAGTTTTAAGTGGAAAAATCTTTCCATGACTCTGTCCTTGAGCGTATTCTAGCATACAAAAGCTTTTTATTGCAGTTTTTCAGCTGGATGCTGTTCCAGTTCTCACTCAAATATCTTTACTCGTGATGCTTTCAGTTAAGAGTGGCCAGCAACTTCTAGCTTTGGTAGCTTTAACTGGAAAAAGTTGCTGAAAAGTACTTAATTTTCCTGATACTGTTTGGCAGTCACAAAGTGAAAAGAGTGCTCCGAGTACTTGAGAGACTAAAATAAAGGATCATGCTAACTGCATGCAGTATAGAACTGCGAAATTACTATCCCTGGGTTTCCAAAATACCTATTGACCTTCCTTAAAGCTTTGCTTTTGTAAAGCTCATATTTGAGCTGGCTCCCTTGTCTTGGGTCCTCTGCAGGTCCTGGGATGGTAGTCTAAGTCTAGGTTGTTGGCAATGCTTGCAGAAAAGAGACTGGAAATACTTATGCCTGTTATGGAGAAAGAAACCGACTGTTGGCTTCTGTTCCTGCTACACTGACCACAGCACATGGTAGCCCTACCTTTGCTGCTACATACCTCCTAAGATAACAAAATATGGCTGTGTAAAGGTTTGTGTAGAGTTTTGCTGGTTTTATTTAGTCATAGATTCTAATAATATGACATTTCTTTTCTAGCAGATAGCTCAACAGTGGACTTGCTGTATCAAAGTTCCCCTACCTCCTACTTTAGAGCATCATTCCTTTCTCTGCTGCCAGATCCACAGTGCCATCTACTACAAGGACTAACTTCCTAAAACTGCTCCACATGGGGTGACCTAGCTGGTCAGCATCCATTTTGTGGCAAACTTTTAAGCAATGAGATCACTTTTTTTTTTTTTCCCCAAGAAAAAGCAGAAGTGGTAAAGCTACGTACTCTTCTGAAAGAAATGGGGCACTTAGCCCAAGAGAAGTCTGGTTTTAGTCACGTAAGTGCAGTGCTGTTCCTCCCTAGTTCCTAAACCGCTCTGTACATCAGTCGGGCTTTGGAAAGCTGCAAGTCAGAGTTGGGAATTTTCCAGAAACAAGGCCTTCCCTCCAGTTTGATATTGGAGCGAGGGGATACACAGTGCCTCTGCCTGGCGAGAAGTGACTCAAGGCAATGAGCATTTGATGTTTCCCGTGCTGATTCTCATGGAAATTCAGAAGGCAAACTGTTACTTGTTTTAATGGTGTTGGTTATTCCTAGGAGGGGGAGGAATAGCTGGACTTTAATACTGGTGGTTTTTCTGCTACTGGATGTGTGCTCTTATTGCATCTGTCAGTGCTCACCAGAAGAGGGGGTCTATTCGTTCATAACACAGTGAGTAGAATAAAATGGATGCTGAACCAATAAACATAACAATTCCTACCATACTCTGATTAATTATGTGAAGTGTAAAACTGTTTCTTTATGGACTTATTACGTATAATTTATAGGAAAACATTGATTTGACGAACTGTTAGATGTTGTGTAAGATGGTTTCTTAATTCTGTCTGCTGGCACACTATTGAAAAGTAGAACTATTTAGTACCCCCATGCATTGGCGTTCCTCAGCAATACCTGCAAAAGCAACGTTCCTACAAACCAAGCTGGCTTAGTATTTATCTCTTCCATCCTTTTCCCTTATCAAAGCAAGGATGTCCTGGCTTAGGTTCTGAGCATCATTGTCTGGTTGTGGAAGGAATTCAGGTATTTAGAAAAGAAGACTTCTGCAGAACAGATCCGAGTGTTTGGGGGTTTGGTGGTGCTGTAGGTGCTAATACTGGATCTGAAATTCCAGGCTTGTTACTCAGCCACTGATTTTTTTTTTTTTTGAGATTTCTTTAATATTTTAATTGTATAAAACTTGTTTTTTTCTAAACTGTAACAGTGTTTGCCTTTCACATCTGTTGCAATATTGGCAGAAGTACTGACGGATTAGTAAATCTTTTCTTAAACCGTGTCTGTGTCGTGTTTGCCAGCGCTGCTCCGCGCACAGGGGGCGCGCGGTGCCGCTGTCCCCGAGCAGGCAGTGACAGCGTCACCTCACGATCGCCTCCTAGGCCGCAGCCGCTTTGTCCGCTGTTCTTCAGCAGCCGCCGCAGCCCCGGGCCCGGCACCGCTCTGCCGCCGCCATCCTGGGGG